TAAGAGGAACCTACCATATGCATTGTTTGCTTCCATGTATTTTGCTAGCATTGCACTGAAAAATGGGACTCACAAGTTTAAAAACCTAAATTTTTATTAAACGCATTTTTTGTTTTGAAATTTTTATGAGATAAATTTGAGATTGCCACATATGATAGATGCAACAAATATGATTCCTTAAAATTATGCTGATTTCATCCGAACTTTATATTTTAGTCATATATCTTCAACAAAATACAAGTGTAACCAAACAAATTTGGTTAGATTTTACCTCTCATACAAATACACAGTATATCCATTACAAACAAACAAGGTTTTGAGTATAGATATTTCTCTAGATTCATAGCATGCATCAAAATACAATCCATGAACCAAATAGCCCGTAAAAATAGAAGAAGGTTGTTCTTGAAGATGTGAATGCATTAAGAGAGTTTTTGCATTTGGAGAAGAAGAATGATGTGTTTTGTTTTTTTGTTCCCTAGTTTTGAGTTTAGACCCATTAAAGAAACAAGCGGGTAAAGATAATGGAGGAGTACAACTAGAACTTTAATAGTGCAAAAGTTTAGATACTAGATATATTTCCCTAAAATATAATACTTTTCGACGGGATGCAATCGAAACTTCTCAACAAACAGCAAACACATAAACAGAAAGAGAAAGGGGCATAAGCACAACAAAAGGAGATGCTATAGACCAACCTTCTCAATAACAGCTATAGTCAACAAGCAATAACTATAGATGGAAAATTCAGAAAGATGCTTGCTAAACGAACAAGATTAACATAATTAATTTACTTGAAGTTAGAACTAATAGTATTAACTAGGGGGTTAATTTAAGAGAACTTATGTCTTAGGGATAACTCAAAAATGCATGAGCTTTTAATGGGTGGGGGGGTGGCGGGGGGTGGACAATTGTCGTAGTTTCTTTTACTGGTCAGGTGTTTCTTTTTAATTAAAATGAGTTTTCCCAAAAGCGTTTTGATCATCTTACTTTTTGAAGTAGCAACTCAGGGAGTTTTGTTGGGAAAACTATAAAAGATGAAGGAGTATTTTGTGAGACACACCATAATTGAGAGGGTTAAGTAGATTTTTCTAAGTTGAGGAGACAATACCTAGATATTGAGGGGTTTACTCGAATTAAGTTTACAACAGAAGAGAACTGGGTTCAAAAACAATCATATAGATCATAGTTTTCGAAAGAAAAAAATAATGGAAAACTTTCCGAGAAAATGTATATTATGTACATAATAGGAAAAATTGTGCCTATGCCCCAAAATAAGAAACTTCATATGATCAAACTCCTCCAACTTAGGCTTCTTGATTATAATTTTTATGTGAAAATGCCCCATTTTAGCTACAACCTCAGCAGAGAGAGAAAATATTCTTTTTAATCTCCAAACCACCCTCATCCTCATCCTCTCATCTCCCTCTTTTTTTTATTCTTAATTTTCTCATGAACCCAAGAATCATTTTTCTTCTTTCTCCTCTTTCGACCATTCTTTTTTTTTTTCCAACGCCTCTCCCTCATGGCATCTTCCTTCTCTTTCTTCTCATCCTCTTTCAACTATTTCTTTACCTCCGCGGCATCTCCTTTTTTTATTTTTCCTCTTCCTCATCCATCTACTCTCCATCATCTCCTACAACCATTAGGATATCACTCAAAGATCATCCTCTTTGGGCTAAAACAACTATCTTTTAAAGTCACACCAAAACTAACACATAACAGTTAACTAACACATAACAGTTAAAGTTAACATATGAGTTCAATAGATAAATATTAACTATATGATGACGTATTAAGTTTAATAGATATATGTTAACTATATGACTTGGGGGTTAAGTTTAACATATAGGTGATAACTATATGATTTAGCTATTAAGTTTAATAGATACAGGTTAACTATATGAATCAGCTGTTAAACTTAATAGATTGAATTAACATCTACTCTATATATATAGTTAACATCTATATATTCTGTAAGATTATCATGTAATTAACTTGGATCATTAATTGATAATAAGTTAAAATATAATATCTGTCTCTATCATCAGAAGGAAAAGGGTGAAAGTGAACCAGAATAGAAGGAATGAGGAGAGTGGAGAAGAGAAGAGTCGAGATGAGATGGATAAGAAAATAGGAAGCGGAGGGGATGCACGAGTGGAAGAGAAGGAGAGACGTATATATGGAGAAGTAGGAAAGATCATGAAGTTAAGATGTGAGGCTCTCTGACCTCTATTTTCCCTCTCTTAGCGCCATTTTTGGTCATGGTAGAGCTCGAGAGCTCTAGGATTAATTATCAAAGAACAAAGAACGAGGGATGAGAGAGGAACAAGAACTCAATTCTTGATTTATTTTCTAGCCTGAAGTCAATTAATGAACAGTATCTACACCCTTTAATTATAGGTTCCCAACTCAACATTTGGCCGTTGGATTTGTTACAACTAACTCCACGTGGCCAATTCTAGACACTCAACTCACAACTAATACATCTGGTTCTAAATAGGCTAATTAATTAAAGACACTTCAAAAACTAAAAAACCTATTTAGGAACTCATTTTTGCAACGTAACTCACTGTCCAACTTTGTGCACATCTCGTGCATATTTCATTTTGTCCTCATCCAGGCTCTGCTGCTTCTGAGTTAGGGCCGTGACGTAAGATGGAGGGAGGAGGGAGGGAAACTGCCATCTGCTTAAGCGAAGACGACGACGGCCTTCGACTTATGTGGCGCGCAGTAGTTTCGAGGCTGCATGAGGAGAAGGAAGGAGAGAGAGAGAGAGAGAGAGGAGGAATACGGAAATGCAATGAAAAGAGAAGGAAGAAGGAAGGAATGTGGGATCGAAAAAGAGGAAATTTTATCAGACTACTGTTTCTTCTCCGGACCGCCTGGCTTAACTAACAAATTTTCGTGCAACCCTTAATTTTGAGAACATCTCCTCCTGCTGGTGGAAGATGACCCTTAATTAATTTGTTTTTGTTCGTTACTTACTTCCTCTGTGGATGTTATTATACGTTACTTGGGCCTGCTATGAAGTCGCAAAAAGGAAGCGGCTCTCGTTCGCGTACGATTTTCTACCTCAAGAAGACGCGAACATTTAAATACAATTCTGGAGATGCTGCCGAGTTTTACTCCGGTTGTGCTGTATGCCTCGATGATTTTTAAACAAGAAGAAGAAGGGCTAGTTGTCCCACTTGGGAGAGCCTTTGTCGTGCCCTGCTGATTTTCTACTCGTCCCGCTTGTAGAAGAGCCTTTGTCGTGCCCTGTTGACTTGTCGTGCCCTGCCGATTTTGTGCGTTCTACTGTATTTTCCAAGTTTTGCTCGACTTGATTTCATTGACAAATATTTAGTGAATATGATGAGCGTGTCCGTCAAGCTTAGACTTTATTTCATTGACAAGCATTTAGTGAATATGTTGAGTGTGTCCGTCTCTTTCGTGTACAGAGAGTCTAATGATGGTCTTATTTTGATTTGTAGCTATGGACCCACTTTTTGAGATTAAGCACTGTGATTCTTACTATTTTCAGTTCAAACAGTATGCCGCATTCCTATTCTTCTTCTTTTTTAAGACTACAGGCTTCCAAAAGAGGGCGTGCGTACGGGTAGAAATCCTCCACATTCTTAATTGTAAAGAAACTCTACAATTCACCAACCAAATCTCCTCGCTTAGTAGACCACACCACACGAATGATATTAATTATCTAAATCATTTAAAAAACTTTTAATTGTGAGACCCGTTGTTATTAGTCTAACTAACTCAACTGTAGGCTTTCTCTACAATCAAGATTGTAGAGAATCCAGACACCAAGTATTATGCATTGTACAGCACAAACAATTGGGAGGAAAAAAATATCTGACAACTAATGAAAATAATAGGAGACGTCATATACATGCTCATCTCATATAGCTTTCGATGGAGTTTGCCCTGCAGTAGACAATAAATTTCTGTCTCTCAACATAAGGAAATCATGTAGCCTTCAAAGTTCGAACTTATTGGATTAAACTTATGAAACGAAGGAAACAATTCCCAAAAAAAAAACAGAATCTTTGGAGGGAAAAAAAGATGGATTATCTGCTCTTTTATTCTCACAAGAAAACACACCAAAAGGGAAAGGATAAACAGCACAAATCAAAGCATAGTCAAAATATCTGCTGTTATATCTTTTTGCTCGTAAGCCTCTTAAATCTTGTCAAAGTTGATAGGGTCCCTCAGGAATTTCTCCATTTGCTTTGCCCTAGTTTTGATTGACATATCAAATACCTTATCTCCAAATTCAATGACCAGTCCACCCATTATGCTTGTGTCAATCTGTAACAATCAATAAAAAAATCATTTAGGAAATTAAAAAATATATATTTAATGTGAAAATTTTGTGGTTTAGTTAAATTTTTTTTAATCAAAAGATCGCAATCCATGCTATTGCTTAGTTGATACTTTGTTCAAGCAAATATAAGAATCTTCTGTTTAATCAAATGCTGGTTTTCAAGTTTAGTTATGAAGTAGGGATTACTTTTATTGTAAAGGGAAAACAGAGTTATTTTCAACTGATTTAATTTTGAGAGCAAACATGAAGTTAAGCTATGTTCAACCTCCTATGAGCTTCCCATAAAAACTTTGCTAAAAAACAAACTACATATCAAGAGCATAAGAGTGAAGAACCATATTAATAATAATAATAACTCTCCAATATGTTTAAAGAAATTATTATGGGCAGTAAGTGAATACCTTTTGCTCAACTTGAACAGACTTTGCATTTGGAAGAATCTCTTTCAGTGTCTGCTGCAGTTCTTTTTCCTCCTCTGCTGGAAGTGGCTGATAAAAAAGTGCAAAACAATACAAGTAAACAACATACTCATAAGAGGAGTTAACTGAGATGACATATAAAGTTTAGATATTATATACCTAGGTCAGACAATTAAACGAAGAAATGCACATAGCTTGCAGCATCCCACCCGGGCTCACAAAGTAAAAAATTCAACTTCACACAAAAAGAATATGCAAATTTTAGGGTCCTACCTTGAGATGCCAGGCAGAACTAGACATAACATTTATCTTAGGTCTATAATATTATTTAAGAGTAGGCTGACTTTTGGTCCAAAATTTTGGTATTATACCCCGGTGCATCATGATTTTAAAAAATCCCACAAATGTCCCACAATTTAGGATTATTTCATTGTTGGGAGGGACAAATTTGAAAAACAAAATCCAAATTAATTGCTATAGAAGAAGCCCAATTGGTAACGAGTTTCGTTGCTGCATGGAAACTGGTTCGTCAACGAGTTTTGTTGCTGCACGGAAACCACTTCGTCGATCCACAAAGAACTTCCCACTGCATTATAATACATAGGGTTCCAAATTCCATATCCCCTCCCCTTGTAACCGCATAACCAAATTGACAATTTTGAAGAAGAAATCATTGAAAGGTCTCTCAAATATTAATGTAAATATGCAACTGACTTTCTTCAATGACAAGAACACTGAGGATCTAATTCTCAGGTAATTTTCAGCATTTCAATGAATGGTTTGAAGTTAGGTGAAACTTTCATCAATATTTTCACATATGGGTCAAAAGAAATGTCCCCACGCCTTTTTCTTCTTGCTAAGAGCAAGACCATTTAGTTTAATTTAGCAATCCCATGACCACTTTTTGGTAGTTGTAGCACCAAAATTTGGCTGAAATTTTCGATAATTTTGGCCAATTGTAATATCCATAATGAATATAGAAATCATAATTTCAAATAGAAATGTGAGATAGAAATTATTAAATTAGATAGTGTTTCAAGAATTTTGTATGGAGAACCATTGGTGAGATTTTCACCAAATATAAATTAGTGTAAGATATAATTAGTCTGTGAATTACTACATACTTCTATCACATTTTTGCAATAACTTTTTATGCAAATATTCGTATCAGCAAGTGTTAACAACTTTCAGGCTGTTTCTGTCAAAGCCCCAAAAAACACTATAGCAATCAATAATTCCTAAAAAAATGAAAGTTTACCGCATCATACAATAAAATAATTATTCCTCCTTTGTAGTTTACATGGAATATTCAATGACTAGAATAGTAAAGGCTATCACACAACTCAGAAGGCAAAAAATGTTTACAAAGTTAAAAAGTTGGCTAGACGTGCATCCCTCAAGACATATGGGTCTGCCCAGGGCCCTAAGTATGTAATACTCCTTTTATGTACAATCTACATAATTAGGTCTAGGTCCACATGGGGGAAGAGTGTCACTGGATATTAGCATCTATCCCATGAAGTATCATAAGTCACAACCCATATTAGGAGTTCAGCATTAGGATAAAGTTCGCTCTTGAGACTAATTTTAAAGAGTGAAAGACAGTGCATCTGGAATTTGAAAATTTCTTAAAAGCTCACTTGTCACATGATTGATCCAAAATTACAAAGAAAACTAGTGTGCAACCCGTGCAAAGCACAGTCCCTTTTTTTATTTCCGCTACAGTTTTTTAAATGCTACATTAGTTTTTTGCAAATGCTACAATATTCTGTTTGCGCTACAGTAATAATACTACAGTAATTAACTGTAGCATTTACTGTAGCATGAATAGTGAATCTTTGAATCCTCCTATGAGTATAGAGTAGATAAACGCACAAATTTCACAACCCCCCCCCCCCCCCCCCCCCCCAAAAAAAAAAAAAAAACTCACCCAAAAAAATTGGTGCATTGCCCACGAAACTTTTGATCCACTAAACCGCCTGCATTTTCCTTCTAAACTCCCAAACTAACAAAAGCCAAGAAATGCCTGTCCGAAGGAAAAACAAATCCCTCTTTTATCATTTTTAATATTTTTGCAAAAAAAAACCCTTTATATTATGCATTTTCCAAAAGAAAACCATGATGATTTTCCCTTTTCTCCTCCCTCAAACCCTGACCCAAGGTCACTCCACCCTCTAACCCTAACCTTATCTGTTCCCGGAAATTCCCATCCCGGTGGCAGGTGTGGTTGGGGCAAGGTGAAGGGTGGGAAAGAGACCCGTCCGGCGCATTGGGTCAGGGAAAAGAGAGAGAGAGAGAGAAAACAAGAGCGATTTACTTGAGAATTGGGTAATGTGAGGGTTTTTTTAAAAAAATTATTAAAAAGTATAAAATAGACATTTTTCCCTGATGGGCATTTTCATCACTTTTGATGGTTCGGTGTTTTAGTGGAAAAATCAAAGTTTAGGGAAGTTTTGTTGTGAAGTCCCCAAAGTTTTTGGGTTTTGTGAAATTTACTCTTTATTTTATTTCGTAATCTCTGATCAGTCATGTACCTTGGACCAGTAACATGACAATGACCTCCTAAACGTATAATAATTTTTCAATTCATAGATGAAATGCTTTCACTCTTCAATATTGGTCATGCAAATAGCTTTTATCATAATGTTGAAACCAACATTGGTCATAACTTACATACTCGATGGGGTAGTGTATAGTATCTAATTACATACTTAGCACCGTGTCGACCAAGACTTGATTATGTAGATAAAGAATCATTAAAATTTTTGGTCCCACGATTGACCCATCTTGTCTGAGAGGCATTTTCATCAATATTTTAATTTGGGGGTGTAGCGGGAAATCTTTTCGAGTTTAGTGGAACTATACCGGGGGGTCTGTGGTCCCAAAGTTTTGGGGGTTTTGTGAAATTTACCCTAAAATAAATTACAAAGAAAGCAGATGATATTGGTAAACTTTATAAGCTAATGGATACAGCACAGACAAAATATCTTGCTGTTTCTTTTTTAAACTCTAGGATAAAACCAGCAAACATTCAGACAAAAGTTGTTGCAGTTGTGCATGTGAAAGAAAGACATGCTCACATACACAAACATGCAGAAAGAATATGCGTCACATTTATATACAGATACTACAACAAACTTTCCGAAATAACATAGCGAAAATTAATTGGAATAAGGTGAATAAAACGCGAAATGAACAAATCTATCTGAAATTATCATGATAAGTTTGACAGTAACTTGCAAGAGACGGAGAAGGATGGACACTTTGTATACAGCATGTCATAGCCATCACATGTTTTTAAGCAATTAAGTACATATTTTTCAGATGGTGAGGGAAAGAGTAAACTTACAATAACGGTCGTCACAATGGCTTGCACCTCCCCCTTATGTGCCATTGTCCAATAAATCTCTTCGCGATTAGCTCAATATGTTTTAGCCTCCCATTTTCAGCCAACAAAGCTTTTCACATGTGTATACAAAAGCATAAGAGTCGTTAATGTCGCTGCCAAAAGCAAAACTAAGAACTTAAAGAAACAAGCCTACATCTGCAAACCAATAAAGTTAGCAGACAAATTTAGCTCATTAACTCGGGGTAAATTAAAAGACAACAAGCAAATAAATGTGGCTATAAGAAAGTTCATCGTGCTTACTACACTCGCTATATTTACGTCCCTACCTTCCTCCCATGATATTGCTTATAACACCCACCATATTTTAGCTTCCCAGATTATGATCCATTTCCTCATTAATTTAGCCCATTCCTATAATATTCTCTCCCACATGAACAACAACTTACACTCTTTATAATATAGTCAACCTAAATCACAAAGGCATTTATTACACTCTTCATAGTTCATAAACTCATCATTTACCCGAGGCCCCGACCAAGAAAAAAAGGGGGAAACGCAGGGACATTAAACCCCCTAGATTCCTCTTAATCTTCTATTTTCAATTTTAACTCTTCTTATTGATTCCTTGTGAGCTTAGTAAAAGAACTAGACTCATAACATGTGTGTTGGTCCTGTGAGTAAGCAAGAGTAAGTAACATTTCAGCATGAAGGAAAAACTACAGCCAATACCTAATGTATGATTATTGGAAGGATAACAAAACATTGCCCAAGCCACAAAATTCAAAACAATGATCATGCCTGAAGGTAGCATGCATAAAAAACCTAGGACTAGTGAGAGAAGTTAGGGTTGGGATTTTTATCACCACTGTGGGAAAGGGGAAAGATAGACTTGAACACTCCCAAGCATAATATGTTATGGGCCCACGTGGTGTTTGTTTTGTAAATTTCAGTAATTTCAATAGATCTATGTTAGAGTGAAGCTAAGGAATACATATCATACCCAAGAAATTCTTCGTGATATCTGACAAACCAGCTTCAGAAAACATCTCAGTAATAGCCTTCACTCTGGTCTCCCTGATCAGTGATAGATCTTTGATGAATTGTGAGAAGAAAGGACTCCTTTTGGAAACCTCAACAATGTCAACAATCTCCTGTGCAACCTTGTCTAACTCATTGGCTTTAGCGGCTGACAGAAACAGGGCAGAAGCATAACGTCCAGAACCCAAAATAAATGACAGAGGCACCTGAGTATGTACAGAGAAAGATGGCAATAAACACGGGAAACATAAGAAGTACAAGGATGTAACAAATACAGATAAATTAATTTTTAAATGCAAAGGCATGATGACATGAATAGTTCTTTTGGAAGTTGGAACACAGCTGTGCAGAAGATATATAACTCAGGAAATAAGGTATACTAGATAGAGAAGAGAGCTAAGACTTCTCACGCAGTGATATCCTTGATAAAGAAACAAACTTATTTGTAATAAACATAGCAAGATTTGTTTTTCGCCAATAAAAAATATTAAAATGATGCTCTTATAAACAATAGTTAAAACGTTAGGTGGAGAAAATAATCTTCTCAACAAAGTAAGGAAGTAAGGAAAAAAATGTAGAGATTTTTGTCCAAATTTCATTCCTTCATGATAGGCTATTTCATTACAGGAAGAACAATTAATTTTAGATAAAAGTTAATGTGAAGACAGATATTAAGAATCCAAAGGAAATCTCTAAGCAACGTGTCATGTCTTTACCAAGGTGCAAACCAAGCTATGTGGAATAAGATATTACATACATGACATATCTACCATAGCTGATGGATTATTGCTGACAACTGTCTATGTTACTCTATCTGCCATCTTCCTAATAATCATAAATGGAGTATACAAAATCAGGAAAGAATAACTAGTTAAAAGTAGGAGATTCCTACTTAGCCTTCAGCAAATCCGAATTCCTACTGCAAAAGATAAGTTGGAGACAACATAACAAATTATAGTTAGAATACACAGTAGGCAAGGTAGAAATTTGAAATGACTATAAGGATCAGCAGAGATTATTAGGAACAATTAAGCACAAATATTATTTCGCAATACATATTAACCAATGGCGGAAAAAATTCAATGTTTTCTTATCATACCTTCAGAAAGTGCGTAATCAGCAAAGTATTATCCATCTACCTTACAAGTCCCGCAAGTCCCAAAATGAAGGTGTTATAGTGAAACTCATCAGACTCTAATGCACTAATTAGCTTTTTCAAGTTGTCATTTCAAATGGGACTCCTTTTAAAATATGAGTCCTTATTTCAGAGCCTTGGATATGAAAAGAAAAAGAAAAGGTTGCCATCTTCCCAGCTTGTGCTTATGCAATCTAATCTGCAGTGTTTTATGAAAACAAGGATGACAGTTTAACACATTAAACTAGGAAACTGACTATAGAATCAGGCCACTTTGTCACCATCTAACCAAGTAGTTTTCAAGAAATCAAGCTAATCTACACCAGTATCTTACGTATTGTTACAGACTTACAGTCACGGTAATTTTTTCCACAAATTTTTACTTACATGTTGGACAGTAAGTTTATCCCAACTAAAAAGAATATTTCCAATTTAGTAATATTTCATGTTAAAATGTTCATAGCCTTATCTTAAGCAATCTAATAATCTCAATAAGAAAGATAAGATTCTTGAGGCATATTGCCACTTCATCACCTTAAGTATTAATAATACTCTAACAAAACCTTAAGGTACCTTCAAATTGGATAGTTCACCCAAAATAGATAAAAAGATTTTAAAATTTTGTGTTAAAATAAAAAACAAGAATTTGAGTATGCGTGAAAATAGAACCTTACTCTATAAAAAAAACTCCGCCAGTGCTGCGTAACGCGTTTATTGTCACCACTGCCTGTCCCAAACCAGGATAAAGGAAGAGGGTTGTGTTAGGTAGCCGACAACCAGCATAAAACATAGTCGGATCCACATGAAAAATAAATCCTATTATATACTCGTTAGGATGTCACCACCGCGATGCGTAGCATCGATATCACCCCGATGCAATGATAAGTAAGCAATGGCGGTTTGCTAAGGCGTCCCTCGGAAGCGATGCATTACATCGATGTCACCCCGATGTAATGACAAGTAAGCAAAGATGTTTTTTAAGAATCTACAATCCTCTAATAGGTTACCTAATATTATTAGGCATAGACTAGAACAGTCTAAGAGGGAAAATGGTAGGACACTTTTACAAGAAAATATAATTAAATTAGCTACTTGAAATATAAGTACACTTACAACAAAGATTATGGAATTAGTGGATGTTATGCTTAGAAGAAAGATAAATATAATTTGTTTATAAGAAACTAAATGGATAGGTGAAAAATCTAGAGAAATTGAAAACACCGGATATAAACTTTGGTGCACGGGAAAAGAGAAGAATAGGGATGGAGTGGAAGTTCTTGTAGATAATATAATAAAAGAAAGTATTGTAGAGGTAGGAAGAATTGGAGATAGAATAATACTAATAAAAGTTATCTTAGGTGTACAGGTTATTAATATTATTAGTACCTACGCACCACAAATAGGCTTGCCCGAGAGTACTTAAAGGAAATTTTGGGATAGACTAGATGAATTAGTATAAGGAATCACATTTTGAGAGAAATTAATTATAGGAGGGGATCTTAATGGGCATGTTGGTAAGGATAATAACAGATATGAGAGGATACATGGAGGTTTCGGGTATGGAGATAAGAACGATATAGGTAAATCAATCTTAGGGTTTGCAATATCGTATGATTTGATAATAACAATACACTTTTTAGAAAAAAGGATGAACACTTAATAAACTTTAAAAGTGATTTTAATAATAGTCAAATAGACTTTTTCTCACTAGAATGGTCAATAGGTTAATATGTAAAGATTTACAAAGTTATACCAGGAGAGTTTAAATACACAACATAGACTGATGGTTTTAGACATCTACTAAGAAGTGGAATAGAAAAACTAACGTAAATAAGATACTAAGAACTAAATAGTGGAATTTAAAAGGAGAGAATTTAATACATTTTAAAAATAAGATAATGAAAAAAGATATAGGAAACATAGATAATGAGACTAATACTATGTGGAATAGCATGTATTCTTGTATTAAGAAAGTGGCTAAAGATATACTACGAGAATTTAAAGGTTCTAAAGGTTCTAGATTAGACTGTAAGGAGAGTTGGTGGTGGAATGAGAGTGTGCAAAAGATTATTAGAGAAAAGAAAACTTTATATAAAAAGTGACAAAAGTGTAGGAGTAGGGAAAACTTAGAAAAATATAAACTAGTAAGGAAGAAAGCAAAAAAGAGTGGATAGTGGAAATAAATACAAGGCTTATGAAAATTTTTATAAGAAATTAGAATCTAAGGAGGGAGAGAAAGATATATATAAATCTGTTAAGATTAGAGAAAGAAAGAGTAGAGATTTTGGTAATATTAGGTGTATTAAATATGAGGATCAAAGAGTTTTAGTGACCGACGGGAAAATAAAAGAGAGGTGAAGAAGTTACTTTTATCAATTGTTTAAAGATAACCAAACAAGTAAGCGAAATAGAGATTTTGACCATATAGTGAATGATGGGAACTATAGATATTGTCGAAAAATTAGGATTAGCGAGGTTAAAGATGCTATAAAAAAATAAAAAGTGCAAAAGTCGTAGCACCAGACGATATCCTCGTTGAAGTTTAGAAATGCCTTTGAGATATAAGCTTAGGATGGTTAATTACTTAATAAGATTACCGAGACGAAAAAAATACCGGATGAATGGAGGATTGGTACTTTGATACCGATATATAAGAATAAACGGGATATACAAATTTGCTCTAATTATCGAGGTATACAACTCATGAGTCATATTATGAAACTTTGGGAGAGGGTAATTGAGCAAAGACTAAGAAAGAGAAGTATATCTGAAAATTAATTTGATTTTATACCTAGAAGGTCAACTATGGAACCTATACATATTTCGAGATGGTTGATGGAGAGATATAGAGAGAAGAGAAAGAATCTACATATATTTTTTATCGATCTATGAAAAACTTATGATAGAGTGCCTATAAAAGTAATGTGGTGGGTGTTAAAAAAGTAACATGAATCTAGTATATATATTGATGTGATTAAAGATATGTATGATAGAATAACAACTAGAGTAAGAACTAATAAATGAGAAACTAAACCATTTCCTATTACCATATGTTTACACCAATGGTCAGCTTCAAGTCCTTGTCTTTTTATATTAGTTATGGACTAACATACTAAGCACATTCAGGATAAAATCTCATGGTGCATATTATTTGCCGATGATATAGTATTAGTTAATGAAACTAGAAGAGACATTATTTTTAAAGTAGAAAGATGAAGATAAGCCATTGAATCTAAAGATTTTAGAATTCGTAGAACAAATATAGAATATATGAAATGTATTTTTAGTAAAATTAGGAAAGAAAGAGAGCTTATGGTACATATTAATGGCCAAGAAATACCTAAAACTAATCATTTTCGCTATTTAGGATCAATCATTACACATGATAATGAGATAGATGATGATGTTGTACATAATATCAAATCGGAATGGTTAAAATAGAGAAGTGCTTCGAGAGTCTTATGTGATCATAGAATACCAATGAAACTAAAGAAAAAATTCTATAGGATGGTTATAAGACAAACTATACTTTATTGGTTAGAGTGTTGGGCAATTAAAAAAAATAACATGTTCAAAAAATGAGTGTAGCAGAAATGAGAATGTTGTGATGGTCTTGTGAGTATACATTAAAAGATAGGAGAACAAATAAGTGTATCCGTAGTAAATTAGAGGGTCTATTGAGGATAAAATAAAAGAATAAATTAAGATGGTTTGGTCATGTATGACGGAGACCCTTAGTGCACCGATTAGGAAAAACGATAATATTAGAGTTAATGGGACTAGGAGATCTAGAGGTAGACCTACAATAATTTGGTTATAATCAATTAAAAAGTATATGATTAAAACTAACTTAATGGAGGAAATGACCCATAACAAAATAAAATAAAAAATAGGATTCATGTAGCTGAGCCCAAACATTTGGGATAAATGCTTGGTTGTTGTTGTACTCTATAAAAAAAGATAAAAATTTGTGATGAAATACCCTAAAACCTTACTCTATAAAAAAAGATAAAAAATTGTGATGAAATAAAAAACAAGGATTTAGGTATGCATAAAAAAAGAATCTAATCCGCTTTTCAAACAAAAAAGTCAATTGCCCTTCTCCGACCCTTACTGTCCAACCGGAAAGAGGACAGCTAATGTGTTCCGCTTATTGAACAAGGTCTACGATCGGTCCGTGACCCCTGGACGCCGATCTCGTAGTTCCTACGGAGTGGAGACGATGGGGTCGGTCCATGGATTTTCCTTCTTTTTGTCAAATTTCGCTCAAAGCAAAGGGCTGAAGAGATAGTTGTTCATACACTGATAAAGGGTGTATGGATTCTCGAGAAGAGAGGAGCCGCGGTGGTCCCCCGGACTGCCCGGATCCCACAAGTAAGATTTTAAATATCGACCGACATGTCCGACATGTCGGCCGACATATCGGTTTGAGAGCTTGACCGACGCGACATTGACGTTTTCAACTCGTATATCGGTTTTCAGGGCCAAATCGGAAATATCAGGATCATATCGGGCATATCGACCTATTTTTTAGCTTTGAAAAAATCGACCGATATGGTACTTTTTTTAAGATATTTTTTTGTTATCAGGTTTGGGTTTAGTGATAAATACCCAAACCCGTTTGACTCATTCTCATGTTTAAGGGTTCCTTATGAACCTGATAGAAAGAATTTGTGAACACAAATCCATATATTATTTACTTTTTTATATGTTTAGTCTATAGAATTTATAAAGTATGTTTATACATATATTATTTACTTTTTTATATGTTTAGTCTATAGAATTTATAAAGTATGTTTATATTGAATTTATGAATGCTTAGATTACATTTAGGATATGATATTATACATATGCGCACTACCCGATATGACAATCCGATATTTAGTCAATGTTCCCCGATATATCCTCGATTTCCGTTATCCGATATGGATTTCAGTCATCCGACATGAACCCGACATCCGATATTTAAAACCTTGCCCACAAGTGAATTGAAAGTGCTAAATTTTTAGTATGACTGCATGTCACAAACATAAATAAGTTACATTTATAAGTTCAGACCAACATGACTAGAAAACGTTTGATGCATTTTAGCTAAATTATATCACCACTTGACTAATTAACTGTCCTCAGCCTAGCACACCAAATTGCGCGAAAAACTGCTATATGATAAGACCAAATACAGTTCCTCAATAAATTCTAAGGACCAAATACAGTTCCACAATAAATTCTAAACAATGTAATATTTCTAAAGACTAAAACCATCACAGGTTCACAATATTGAGCTCGGTATTTCAAAGCAATGTTGGACATCAATCAACACCAGGCCAGGTTTGAACCCAATCAAAATGTTCCCAATTCACATTTTCACTGGCTTAGTATACTTACTACTATTGTTCATAATTGGTTATTTCTATATAATAATACAGGCCTCATCTGTGCATTTATCTAACAACATCCAGCAAAGAACTAATAAGTCCAAAATTTTGTAATATCAAAAGCTTTATGATATCAATCTTACTTATCACAAATTCCAAACAAACGATGCACTCTTCTATCACCCAAGCTTCTCAACGTGTAACAGTTCATCCAAGTTTGAGGGGAAAAAATATTTTCCTGTCCCCTATCTAGTTGCTGATCCAAAATAATCATTTTTCCACCCAATAACTCACCCAACAAAAACTGCATAATTGAACAAAAAATATTTTGAAATGTTTTGCCCAAACCAAACGGCTTGGTCCAACATGTAACAACCTTAGATTAGATATGGACCTTACATAAAAAAATGCGTACAATACCAGATAATAAAACGAGGGTTTTGATATTAAATCAGATTGATATCTGGCATTCTAAACCTGGCGATTATTCTCATTTCTCAATAACAAGTACTAAATCTAAAGATAAATTTTGATCTAAAAGAAGCTCATTTACCTTGACGTCTGCATTTGCAGCCTTCGCCTGGGTCGAGAAATTCCGCGAACCCTGCATCAATTCAAATCAAAACTGTAAATATTAACGCTAATAAGAGAAATAAAAAGGGCAAGAGCTAGGGTTTCGGCTGACGTCGAGGCCAGGGTTTCCGACAGCGGAGATCTGAGGAAGAGTGGATTCAGCCCTCAGGATCCGCTGGAAGAGGGGGAGACCAGATCTGAAGCGAGAGGAGATCGCCATCGCTAAACCCTAGCTTTGATTTCTTGATCGATGAGAGAGAGAGAGGAGAGAGGGTCTCAGGTGCAGCGGCGCCTTTGTAGAATGGCGTGAAAGCCCTTTTTACCGAAGAATGAACATTATCTGTTGGCCCAGTACAACGAAGCCCATTTTGCTGGGATGTGTAGTCACGGCAGAAGCATAAATAGGGTTATTTGGTATTTAGCTCAAATATTTAAAATTGCTCGCTCATTAGCCCCTCAAATCCTAAGGGGGTGTTAGTCAACTAGAGCATTTCTGATAGAAGTAGAATAATTGTTAGTATGGGATAACTTTTTAATGTGGGATATTTTAGTGGGATAATTGGGAGCAATTTTTTAAAACAATATATTTTAGTGGGACACTTTTTAGTATAATTAAGGAAAATTTTCAAAAATCAATAAGCATTTAAGTTATGTATTTTGATGATAAGACTACTATTTATACATTTTAAAACATATTATTATTATTATTATTTTATTTTAGTGTTAATTAATCTTGAAGAACTATTAGATACACTATAAGATATAATAATAATAATAATAATTTGTAACTTTTTATTTTTTTGGAATTATTATTGTAATATAAATTTAATTCTTTTTTTTATCTGCCAGACATCATTCCATCATCTCTCAATTTTCATTAATCTTTAATAGAACATGAATTTTGTAATTTTTAAATTTAAATTAATTATACAATTCAAATATTTAATAAAAATAAATAATAACATTAAATAGAAGGGAAGGCTAAGAAGAGATGTGGTCTAATTTTATGGTGTGGTTTGAAGATAATGTAGAAATGAAATATGAAAAATAAAAAAATAAATAAGAAAGTTCTAACTTTTTACTATGTAGTTCTAGCTTAAAATTTGGGACAATTTGTGAGACTAGAACTCTCTCTTTTCTATATAATAAATTTGACAAAAGTGGGATATATATTTTTACAATTATCCCAGTTCTACTTTTTACCCTGTTCTTATTAACTAACATTGTATGATTTTATCCTAATTCTAGTTCCAATGGACTAAAACCATAAAAATTTGTCACACAAATTACCTCAGTTCTAATTTTGAGTTCTACTTGACTAACTCCCCCTAAGAGAGTTCTAATCTTTCAAATAATCCTTAGTTTTGGGCTAGAACTACTTGGTAAAAAATTATTTTTAGTTTTCATATTTCTTTTCTTTTCTCCATTATCTCTTCCTCCAATAGTCATTGCTATGATCTGACCACGCTATCATACTAGACCTTCTTTCCTCTTAATCCTCTCTGTATATGTTATTTTCTGTCTTTATCGAGTATTTGATTTATATAATTATTTTAAAATAAAAAAATCATAGCCCTCATAATTTATTGAAAATTATTGAAATTGAGATATGAGGAAAAGAGATTTGTGGGTGTGAAAAAAGAAGGAATATGAACAACTTTAAGTTTTTAGACCTATACTATAATAAGCCACAAAAACAAAAAAAAATTTGAAGTATTATTATAATAATTATTAAGAATATATTGTATTATAACTAAATGTTATTTAACAATAACTAATATTATATTAAATAATAATTAATAAATAATAATAAGTTTAAAATATAAAATAGTAGTTATATCATCAAAATGCAAAAAATATATAGTTCTTTATTATCATAAATTATCCCACATCTATTTATCAAAATATCTCACTTTAAAAAATTGTTCCTGATTATACCACTAAAATATCCCACTTTCAAAAAATTGTCCCACATCAACAATTATCTCACCTCTTGTGACAATATTCTCATTGACTAACACCCCCTAAGGGTTTTGCAATTTTGTCTCTTGGTGATCAAAGATTTGAGGGAATAGTATGGAACTGGGATAATCTGTGGGATAAATTTTTAAGGTGTTAGTCACATAGAATTAGGAAATGGGATATTTTTTATAGTGTTAGTCAAGTAGAACTTTTGTAGAACTAGAATTGTATTATTATTTTTGGTGTGTTAGTCAAGTAGAATTCTACTTGAATTAGAATTGGGATAATTTATCATAATTATCCCACTAATTTTACTACCTATATATATAGCTATAAGTTCCCCTCTAAAAAATTATCATACACATTGAAAAGAAACAATTGGGGGAAAAAGTGGAACTGCGCCGCCTCCCTCTCAAATTATTTCTCCGCCTCTTCTCTCTGATCCTCCCGTCCATGAGATCAGGTATGTAACTTCAGTGCTTTGGATTTTAATTTCAAACTTATTTATCCAATTGCGTGTCGTGATAAGTTCGTATGCTATGAATGGACTCATGGAAATTTCGCGTTGTCATGTTAATAGACAAAGATGAGATCACCTTTAACCTGCAGGCAATGTGATGCAATCACCTTCCTTTAACCTGCAGGCAAGTGATGCAATAACCTTCCTTTAACCTACAATCACATTCCTTTAACCTGCAGGCAATGTGATGCAATCATCTTCTTTTAACCTGCAGGCAATGTACAAGATTTTGTACGCATTATGACCCCTAACCATTATTTCCTGTAGAAGAGTGTGTCTCGAACCCCACCATGATATAGTTCTGTGAATGAAGCCCTTTTTTATTTTTTTTTCCGTGTTCACCATAGAGAATTTAAATGCCTGTTGTTGCTTGCAGGGCCGGTTCTGAGATTTTAGGGGCCTTGTGCGAAAAGTAAACACAGGCCCTTCTCTATATACAAAATATCAATAATTTTCAATTTGAATCACTAAAATGCTAGGGGACAAAATATTACTGATCAGACATTAAAATATTACCTGAGTTTTTTACATCTGGATAGTCTTTAACATAATTTTCAAGTGCTATTGCTCATTCTTCATCTCTTCGGTCACCTGAATAAAATGTTACTGATTAGATAAATACATGTAATCCCATCTTAATAAAGCTTTCAAATAGAACAAATAGTCCACAATAAGAAATACTTGCATATTATATTCCTTTTGTATTTATGCTTACCTTCATAAGAGATATCGAAGTCTTTAGCATCAAAAAGTATCATCGAAAAATTGTCCTCCTTGTATTTTTAGCTGCAAAATCATTAATTAAGCCTTTAACATCAATTTTATCTATAAAATCATTTTCAATGGATATCAAAGCTAGTCCATTTAGTCTTTCTTGTGACATGGTCGATCTCAGATAAGATTTTAATAATTTTAATTTTGAAAAACTTCTTTCTGCAGATGCGACTGTAACAGGTATAGTCAATAATATTCTATAAGCAATACATTTATTTGGAAAACAATTTTGTATTTTTAAGAAATTCAGTATATCAATAGCCATCTTTGTTTCTTTTGGTAAAATATTTCGTTAGATTTTTAGTTCTCCAAATAAGAACTAAAAATCTTTCTCATCAAGATCAGAAAATGTTTTATATTTTAGAACAATTTCAAGATTATCACAACATGCTTTCAAATTATTATCATCTAATGAATTTAACTTTTCTGAACCAAACAAAAACCCAAAAATATCTGCATATGCTTTATATTGCTCAAACATTTTCTTTAGTGAACCAATAGCTTGATCTACAATATACAAAAAATAATTGATTCTAAAAGATTCTTCAGCTGATTGTGTTGTATCCTCATTAACATTCTCATCAAATTATCTTTTTCTACGGATTTTACGTTTTACTTGAAGTACAGAATCAATTTCCATTTCAGTTGTAATTTCTTTAGCAATTGTCATAGCTTGTGTGAGCCCAACTTCTCTATAATCCTCAAAAAACCTAATCAATCCTTTTACTTGATCTATAGCAATATCTATAAGCATGTCTTTAGATTGTAAAAATTTGCTAATTAAGTTAACAGCAAATAATATATCATACCAAATAATCATACTTAATAAAAATTCAAATTTTCCAATTCCATGTGTTGCTAAAGAATCTGCTTCACTCCTTATTTTGGAGTCATTATCAGTTTTTGCTAACTGAAGTAGTGCTTCTCTTATTTCAAGCGTTTGGAATCTAATTGCTTTAACGCTTTCAATATGGCTTTCCCAACGTGTAGCTGACAATGGCTTCACAGTTAAACCTTTTATATTATTTATCAAAATTTGTCATTGCTTTGTTGAGTGAGAAAATAATGTATAAATACGTTGTATCACTCCAAAAAAGTCTTTTGCTTTACCACAACAATTTGCCATATCACAAAGTGTTAAATTAAGACTATGACAACCACAAGGCGTGTATAATGCTCTAGGATTTATATCAAGTAATTTTCTTTGTACACCTTGGTGTCTCCCTTTCATATTAGACCCATTATCATACCCTTGACCTCGTACATTATCAATATCAAGATTAAGAGCTTTTTAGCATATTTTGCAATTCTTCAAAAAGTCCTTGTCCAGATGTATCATTTACTTTTAAAATTTCTACAAAAAATTCTTCTATTTTTATCGGGGTTGTAGAAATATCAACACATCGTAATATTAAAGTCATTTGTTCTTGGTGACTTGCATCCGGAGTACAATCAAGTATTACTGAAAAATATTTAGCTTCTTTAATTTTTTGAACTATTGCACATTTGATTTTAGAAGCTAACATACTTATCAATTCATTTTGAATGCTATGACCAAGATAATGATAATAAATTTCATCATGGTTAATACGTCGAACATGTTCTTGCATTACCGGATCCCATTCTGCAATCATTTCAATTAGGCCTAAAAATTTCTATTATTATTTTGATAAATTCTCTCATTTGTTCCTCGAAATGCCAAGTTATGTTTAGCAAGATATTTAACAACAGAAATTATTCTTTGTAATACTTTCTTCCAATGTTCCTTCTCTTTATTAATTTGCTCTTGAATATTTTTATCGATTGTTTTATTTTTCTTTAATCTTATGCGTAAATCAAGCCAAGTACTCATGTTAATAATGTGTCCATTAGTTGTTTCATGTTCTTTAAGCCTAGCACTAAGATGTATCCAATCATTAAATCCATCATTTATTAAAAAACTTTTCTTAAGACCATTTTTAAACAATTTACAACAAAAACGGAATACTTTATCGACATCCTTTGAATAAACTAACCATTCCCTATCGCATTTCTCTCCATTTGATAAATACCTAGTGTAAAATGCCGAAGAAAAACATCTTCCTAATTTATCTTTAGGACATTTTTCGACTAATAGATCTCTTATAGGGCCATTTTCCACTAATATATCTCTAGATTTTGTGTCCAAATTATCCCAAGTTCTTGGATCATAAATATTCAAATTCATGAGCATGGATTGATTATCAAATTCATTGCCTAAAATATTTTCATTTTCATTTTCATTTTCATTGTCAATATCAATTTCATTTGTTTTCCGATTCTCATTTTTACTTTTATTTTCATTTTCATTCTCATTTTCATTTTCATTATGATTCTCATTTTCATTATCATTTTCATTTTCATTATGATTCTCATTTTCATTTTCATTTTCATTCTCATTATGGTTTTCATTTTCTTTATCATTTTTATTTTCATTATGATTCTCATTTTCATTATCATTTTCATTTTCATTATGATTCTCATTTTCATTATCAATTTTATTTTTACTTTGATCATCAACATTTTCATTCTCATACTCATTCAAGCCCAAATCATTAATGTTATCATTTTCAACTAAATCTTGTGTTTTTCTAACAATAAATTTATCAAGCGCTCCACTTTGAGTTTGGACAAATTATTCATTTTTTCTTTTTTTTCACGCGTTTATCATATCCAGAAGGATATTTTCTTGGAGACATTTCTATAATAAAGTATTACTGATCATAACCAAATTAAAAGTAGTCAAAGATTTGGAACAATACAACCTGATGAAGTCTGGCGAGCTTGACAGCGGCCAACGGGGGCAGCGACGGCGAGCTCGGAGCACCGATTCGGAGCTCAGCAGGGGCGGCGATTCCCAAAGGCCAAAGTCTGCAGAATATCGGGGCGGGCGGTCAGCAGTGAAGTCGGAGTCTCGCCATCTCGGAGATTCCCGAAGTCTGCAGAGTCTGAGCGGCCAGCGGGGGCGCCGGGGCGAC